ACTGTGACACTGTCGAATGCTTTTCTGTAGTCTATATATGCCATGTGTATGTTTCTGTGTTGTTTGTGTGCTTGCCATAAAATGACTGAATCTATGAGTAACCAACCATTCTTTGCATCCCCTGTGATTTCTACGGCAACTTTTTTGTTGTTCTGTAAGAATGTTGTGTTCTTCAACATGTTTGTATATTTTGTTTGTGATACAGGATGTCAATAATTTGTAGAGTGTTGGAAGACATGTAATTGGTCTGTATTGTGTGAGGTCTGTGGTGTTGTTGTTTTTAGGTTTCATGTAGGTGATGCCCTGAGTAAGAAACTTTGGCATGTCTTGTGGATTGATGATGATGTGTGTTAGATGTTTAGCTACCGTGTTTCCCCAAAAATAAGACATCCGCAGAAAATAAGACCTAGCACAGGTTTTGCTGAATTGCGAAATATAAGACCTCCCCCTGAAAGTAAGACCTAGCGAAGTTTTTTTAGTCGTAACGGTCATCGACAGATGGTCGAAAGTGGCCGTTGGCTTTTTGAAAGTACAGCCATTGATTGGTTAGCAGACAATCACGCCACATGGAATGATTTGCATAAGACTATGGCTTGGAAATCACAGATTTGCATAACGTTACGGCTGGTGATGGCTAATTGGTCGGCCGGGAATCATGCCACATGACATTTGCATGTTGACGCTATAAAAAGGTGACAGTTTGACACACCGGATATACGTCACTCTCGTCTAAGTTCGACTTGGGAATTTTTTTTGTTCAATAATAAATGTGAATTCTTCCTGGAAAAAATAAGACATTCCCTGAAAATAAGACCTAGTGCATTTTTCAAAGCAAAAATTAATATAAGACACTGTCTTATTTTCGGGGAAACACGGTAGTTCCTGGTGCAGTGATGTAAACTTTTTGTACCAGAAATTGTGAATGTTGTCTACACCAGGTGTCTTCCAGTTGTGTGTTCTGTTAACGGCGTAGCGAATGTCGTGTATGTTTATTTCAGCACAGGGCATAGTTGGTATGTTATGCAAGTTTCTGTTCTCCTCCTTGATCCAGCCTGCATCAGCATTGTGTGTAACAGCATTGGACCAAAGAGAAGACCAATAAGTTGTGAGTTCTTCTTCTGTTGGTGTGCCACTGTGCTGTGTATCAGTGTTTGTTTTGGTACTGATTTGTCTGTAGAAAAGTTTTTCATTGTTTGTGAATAATTTATTTTGTTGTTTTCGTAGTGTACATGTTTTGTATCGTTTGAGTCTACGTGCTTTGGCTGCGAGTTTTTGTTTTAGTGTATCGATGTATTCTGTAATGTGTGTGTTGTGATGTTCATGTTTTGTGTGTGTTTTGATTTTCTTGAAAATGTTTTTGAGTTGTTTCTTTAATTTGGGTGTTATGTTGTTTTTAGTGTATTGTGTCAGCCTGCCTAATTGCTGTCTAATGTCATTTATTTGTGTTTCTATTCTTCTCTGCCAGGCAGGCTTGTGATAGAATTGTGTTTTGTGTGTGTCTGTCTGTGAGTGTATTTTCAGTCCATGGTGTGTTACTACTGTGACTGCCCCAGCATAAACTAATGTATGAATGTCTGAGAGTGTAGAAATTGAATGAATGTAGTTTGGTAGTAAGTGAGTGTTTACATAATTTAGTGTTTTTCCTACTACCTTTGACGTGTTGATTTTCGGTATTCGTGGTCTTTGTGTGGGATCTGTACCTGTATATTTAGTGAGTGTTTCCTGAAATATAAGTGAGAGTGTATTAACTAATTCTATGTCTACGTTATCAGTGATGGATGGGGAAGTGCCTGCAGTATCATTAGTGGTACTTGTTGTGTGTGTGCTGTAATCAGTGCTTGTTGCTGGATTATCCTGACAGGTTACGTGATCTTCATTAATGTTAAATGTTTCTGTCTGTTGATGTATTTGATCAGCAACCTGTTGTTTGATAAGTTCAAGTGTTGTTTGTGGGATAAGGTTGTTGTGTATAATTGTTCGTTTTTGATCAACAACCCTTTGTTCGGTGACAGTGAGGTGAGGATATTGTTGTGTGAATATGTGGTGTAGTTGTTGTCTGTATGCTGTCATGTTTGTTTCGAGTCTTGTGATGGTGTAGTAAGTGCGGATGATAAACTCGTTCATTTCTGTTGTCCATTTCATCCGTTGGCGTGGTTTTCCAGCCTTTGTGGTCTGTGGATGCATTGCCACAGAAACACCAAGGCTAGGTTGATTCCTCACATCTGTTGAGGGCATTGCAGTAGCCATGCTTGGGCCGGCGCTGCTTTCGCCACCGGTAACCAAGGGAGACTGGAGCCTATTTTTCGAACGTGAGCCTCTGCCTAACCCACGAACGCGGACCTTGTTAACCCGGGCGACGTCCGAGCCGGTATCATACTTAGATCTGGTTACTACCATAATGATTATCTCCACAGAATGTGGGTGTGTGGTCACTCTTAGCTTCATTTCTCCCCATAGACCTTACTGGCATGGGTGTCCCTACCAGGAGCTTGTGCTCCAGCCTGCATTGCCCTATGGTTCAGTAAAATTACTGGACTCTCCCATCACGACCAGGTGGTGACCACGGGAGAGTTATTATTATTATTATTAGGAATTGCTTAATCTTAGAAATTAGACTAAAATTGTTAGGATATCACTTATGAAATAAATATTTATATATGACAAACCAATATTTGTTTTTTTTTTTAATTGAATTCTTTTAGAAATTATAAATCCATAAAGATTTATCAAATATTCAAATATTTAAACATTTATTTTTGTTAAACAAGCAGAAAATATTTCATGTAAAACTTACTAATTGGTCGTTGCAATGGATGTCCCGTTTTTGTACACCAATTCACTGGATGTATATCTGACGAATCGTCGTCCACCCAATAGTCATAAGCATCCGACCAACCGTCAAAATGAAGTTTTATTAAATGCGGCTGCACTTCTGCAACTGTTGCAACCCTAATTAATAAAGGATTTCGTTTATCTACAGCTTCTAATTTCATTCCAACTTTGAATCCGTGACTTGGACGTTGTTTGAAGGCACTAGCAGGAACTGCTTGAGACTTTGTTTCCAATAAATAATCTTTCCAATTAAATGTAGTATCTTTACAGTCTGTAAATAATAATAAAAATGTATCATTTTTAAATGAAATATAAAATTAAATTTTATTTTAATGTTTTTATTAATTCTAAAATATATATATTTGATTTTTTAATTTTAATTTGTTAAAATCTGTATATAAATATTAATAACAGACAAAAATTATTGTGACATTGTCACAATGCTAGGCTGAAATTTTTAATCATGTTCTTAATTTATTTAATTTAAAATATATCAATATGTTCTCAATCTCAAATTAGTAGTGTTTTACCCCTGTATATCATACTTTTCCTGATAACAACAGTCATGCCAGTCATCTATGTAACCATGTTCAAGAGAAAATTTTTGAATTGAAATCACATGACTTCTGGTCCAAACCAGAAGTTCATACAAGGTGCATTCCATAAGTAATGTGACCAATTTTTTCATGATGCAATGATACACCATATCTAGTTATAACCAGCTGCACTAGGTGGCATGGGGTGTTAGCTTCAAAACTCGCTCGGTCTCATTTGCTTCAAAGCTGCTGGTGAGCGAAGACGTTTGTTCCCATGAACCCCATTTTGAGTTAATGTAACACAGCACAATGGATCATTTTGTAGAGTAATGTTACGCTATCAAATTTTGTATTAAACTTGGGAAATCTGCCACCGAAACCTTTACATTAATTCAGCAGGTCTTTGGGAGTGATTGCTTGTTTTCTGATGGCACAAGTCAACCTGCCCCAAGAAAGTATGCATGAGCAAGTCCAGGATCAAAACCATGCTCATTGTCTTCTTTGATGTCAGAGGCACTATCCACCACGAATTCGTACCTGCCAGGACCACTGTAAATGCAGCTTTCTACTTGGAAGTGCTCAAAAGACTGAAAAGGATGTCCTTGATGTCACTTCAAAGTGACATCAAGGACATCCTTTTCAGTCCTTTTCTTCAAGGACAAAGTTTCCACATGTCCTTGATGTCACTTCAAAGTGACATCAAGGACATGTGGAAACTTCATCACGACAACGTGCCAAGAACAGCGCCTTCATTGTCAACAATTTCCTGGCCAGGACCCACACCCCATTGGTTCCACAGTCCTGACCTGGCTCCCACCGACTTTTTTTTTTTATTTCCTTGCTTAAAAGGAGCCATGAAAGGGAAACATTGGGACATGATTGAAAACATCAAGGCTTATGTTACATCAGCTCTAAAGGACATTCCAGAGAAGGCCTTCTAGGCCTGGAAACATCGCCTTCACAAGTGTATCGATGCAGGAGGGTGCTATTTCAAAGATTTTTGACTAATTGTAAGAATATGTTCAATAAATGACTTTTTTATGAATATGGTCACATTACTTATGGAATGCACCTTGTATACAGTTAATTGGGACCTCCTGCTCCTAAGCTTTCTATATCTGGTCTTGACTTTCATTTAACACCATCCTTGAGAAGGATGAATAGAGACAGACAGACAACAGTAGGAATTTATAGGTCCACAATTTTTTCATATTGCAACCCAATAAATTTACTAATCATGATGGATATTATATCAGCAAATCTGAATTATTAACATTAATGCAAGAACCATTCATTATTTTTTCTTATATTAATGAAATAAAATTATTAATTATGGTTACAATAAAAGAACTGAAATAGAATAATGTTAAAAATAATATCATAAATGACCATGATACAAATAATATGTAATATAAATTACATTCCTTTCATTATTTTCCAAAAATAAAAGCTTATTTATTTCAATAAGTGTAATCATTTATCGTCAGCACCATTCAAAACAACAGCAATAACTGGATATTTTTGTTTTCCTAGGATAATAGCATTTATTATAAAATTATCATTCATACCTTTTACTTGGAACTCATTTAAACTTAATGTAAATATGAAAAATTTTAAGATGTTTCTTATTTTTTTTTGTTTTTTAGATTTTGCACATGCATTCTAGTAATAGGCCTTGTAATATCATTTGAAATTGCTATCCTAGTATTCTATAAAATGGCTTGCAGAAGCTCACTGTATACAGAATTCTCAGTGTACCTAGAGGACTGAATATCAAGCTTGCTTATACAATGCAGTTAAAGCCATTACTCACAGTTAACTGAGTTTTTTCAGAAAGGTTGCATCACCACGAATGAGGGAAGCACGATGGCCGTTTTGTTGAATTTTCCCCATCTGATCCATTTTCACCTGAATATGAGCAGGTGTTTGGGACAGTGGATGTATCAAGGAAACACATATACAACAACCAGACCACCAAAATAGGTGACTGACTGATTGTGAGACAAGCAAAACAGTCACAATGATGTCTTTGTCCACCATATGAAACAGGGAGAAGCTTAGCTTCAGAATCCAGTCTCTTCCCATACCATTGACAGACAACTAGCAAGTTGTCTGTCAATGATACGGAAAGCATTTTTTGTGCACACGATAGCTATGTATCCTGCCATTAGCATCTCAATATCATTGGCTTCATTTGCAGTGGTGCCATAACAAAGAAGCATGAACTGTTACAGACTGGCAGTTTGCTGCCAGTCTGTAGCTGCTTTTGAAGAACTTATAAATAAATAGAACACCAGAAGAAGGCAACTCAGAAATTTGAACAATTTTCACTAATCTTTATGATTTTGTCCTCATCTTACTTTGTTTTTGTCATATTGTAGAAGATTCTTGTAAACTTTTTATTTTAGTTTTATGTTTCTATATCTTATTGTACTTTTATCTGTACTCAAAAAAAGAAAGTTTAATTTTGTATTCTATCTGGTTGTACATGTAGAGCCAGGCATTATTAATAAAGATAAAGTTGATAGGCTGACAGCTTACTTTACTAAAATATAAATTTTCGTCTATAATTTCGTATCTTCTATTATCAGGATTTATTATACTGGCTTTACAGATAATGTTACAAAGTTTTACAGAAAAACTAAATATACCTGTACAGGTATATTTAGTAAAGTAAAAAATGTTTTTCTGTAAAACTTTGTAACATTATCTGTAAAGCCAGTATAATAAATCCTGATAATAGAAGATACGAAATTATAGACGAAAATTTATATTTTAGTAAGAAAAAGGACATTGAGGCATTTTAATTAATTAATTAAAGTTTTATTTATCTTAATCTATTTCTCTTAAACATTTTATTACT